ACCGAGGCCGGCTGCACTGCGGTGTCCACGCGTGGGAGCCCCGCGCCCCGCCCTGCGGTGCCGGGGAGGGGCGACCCCGAGGCCACCTGCGGCAGGTGGCGGCTCTGCCTGCCCGGCCCCCACCCTCACCTGGGGCCTCTGCGGCGAGCGCCCCAGCAGGCACCGCCAACGGCGTGTGGGGAGGGGGTACCAGCGTCTATATATTTTTCATACGGCAAATGCCACTAAAATGGCTGCTGCCTCTCTGTTTCCTTAGAAACCCATCAGTGCTCCTCAGTGGCTGTCAAAACTTGAGTTCTGGCTCACCTTTGCTGTCCCCTCTCTAAAGAAGGATGACAGAAGGCAGGGCTGTGAAGGTTTGTGATGGGGACACCATGGTCTCTTGAATGTGGACCCCCAAAGGACAGTTTCTTCTGGAGGTTAAGGAAGGGCTGAGAGGGATGGGAGTAGTGCAGTATGATCAGAGGCAGGAGAGGAGGGAGCCAGGGGACCGGACACAACTGACGGGTGGCGAACCGAAGTCACTAGCCTTGAACCTTGTACTTGCTTGGGTTCTACAGCCCAAGCATGACAAAAAGAAACACAATTAAGAATGGGGAAGCACCCGGGTCCCAAGCGGAGCTGAAGTTCAGACCTGGAAGTCAAATTCCCAAGGCACCCCATGAACTTGGATGGTTGCCTCCCTTCCTCCACAGCATCCTGCTTCCTAGACCCAGGGCTGAGGGCAGGCATAGCTGTCTGTCTCCTGTAGGCGTTCACAGCAAATGCTATGCCTAGAAGTTCAGTTACACTCTGCCAAAAAAAAAAAAAAAAAAAAAAAAAAAAAATTTTTTTTTTACAAGGACGGTTATTGAAGAATTTCAGGACAAGTTCAATCTGTTGGACTACCACCAAACACAGTTGTGGTATTTGCAGCATACGTTTGGAAATAGGCAAGGGTTTTGCTTTCTTCATTTTGTTCATTGTTTTTCTATCCTACCCACCTCTGTTCAGGGCAGATTCAGTGACCCTGGGGAGAAGGAAACAGTGCGTGCTTTCCGGAATGTTTTATTCTAATAAAACAACCTTGATAGTAACACTCTCCAAAAAATTTTCCATTTCTGTTCAATAGACAGGATCTGGTTTCAGACCCACCACAGTGTTCCCTCAGCAGCACCTCCCTGCCAAGGCTTGTCCCTCTCTTGACCTTCAGTCTTTGAATTTCTATTCTATTTAAGATAAACAACATTTAATATATTCTACCATATAAAGATTTCCAAAGGTATTTATATTGTGTGGTATGAAGAAGGAAATGTGTCTTCTATATATTTTCATTTATAAAGATATCAGGGAGCTATTGGAACATTTCAAGGTCACTGAATGCTTGTTCAAAATGCTCAGAGAACATTGGAAATAAGGAACCAGAGAAGAGGACAGTCATTATACAAACTATCCATGGAAGGCCGTAATGCTAAGAACACTCCCTATTTATTAAGCATCGGCTGGGTGTTAGATGATGGGTGCATTACTTACATGTGTTTTTCTCATTTAATCTTCAGAACATTCTGAGAAGTGGTAGGATGATACTTCACAAGGGACAATAAAAATCTTTGAGAATGTAATGAAATAGGGAAAAACTAGATTTATCAAGTACTTTGAGGGAGAATATTTACTGGGTTGGAGGGAGGCACTTACGAGCTGCTTGTTGGGGGGGGTCAAGACCCTAGTGAGTGCACCACACATTGTAAGCATTTTAAGGACTGTCTGATGAAGTGCAAGGACTTTGCTACATGGACACACTGACTTTCCTCTAAAGAAAACCTGAAGAATTATTAAATAGCTGGATGGAGTGCCAACAGTCATTAGCTTAGAGCACATGACTCCATCCATACCTGGAGGTAGGAACCAGTGAATCTAGGACAGTGAGGTGTGGGAAAAGCCTATAACCCAAACACTAGAGCTGCCGCACTTGAAATGGAGCTGGATGTGTCTGTTTCTGTCAATGGAATGAGAATACAAGGTCTCTCACAATTACTGCCCAGGTGATAAGAATGAAATGGTTGTAGATTGCTTTGTCAGATATAGGAATAAAGAAACATTTCAGAAATTTTAAAAAAATAGAAAAAGACCCCCTTAGGCACTGCCTTGTTGGTATACAAATTATTCTCATGATCTAGAAAGGACCTGCTAGTTGTCAAGAACTACCAAAGTAAAGGAGAATTTATTGCTGATGAATTATAATGATGAGGAAGAAAACCAGGCAAGAATCAAAGACTATTATTTTACCTTTCTTTAAAAGAACATAAAATAACACCAGACTAAAGAGACTATACATAAAATTCTTCCATTTTGGAAAATATCCAGAAAAGACAAATTTATAAAGATAGAAAGTAGCTTGGGGATTTCTTGGAGCTGGGCAATAGGAGGAGGGGGAGACTACCAAAGGGGTCAAGAAATGATGAAAATTGCACTATAGTGATGGAACACATTATACTTTTCATATAGTCTCTGAGTGGTGTGTCTAAAATGAGTTACAACATGTAAGTAATATCTCAATAAAACTGTTTAAAAGTAAGAAATAACCTATCTACTGGTGGGGCAGAGAATGACTGGCGTAGGGGATAAAACAAAATTACGGGAGAAAAAGTAAAACTTATCTATAATTCTACTACTTAGAAATGAACCTGCTGATATTTTGCTGCATTTCATTCTGAACTTTTCTATTTTAAGAAGATATAATCATAAGCACATACATAAAACTGGCTGTCTACATTCAATCATTTATGATATGAATGTATATAAATATATTCATACAAACTTGAAAACATTAACAGATTATAAACTTTTTGAATAGGATGGAAAATGCTTTACATGTTTTTAATTTTTAAATTGAAAATTTTTTATTGGTTACTGAGTTCTCTAATGTATAATTTACTTAAGTATCCTGTAGACCTATCTATGGGGGTTACTGCTCATTGGCAAAAAACTATTTTCTGTCTAATCCTCTTCCTGTAGTTTAGTGCATGCTCTCCATGACAACCAAAAATCTCCACTAGAAACCTCTGACTAGAGGAAGAAAGCTGTTATATGATGCATATCTGTTAATACCTTATATGCCCTTAAATAAGTAGCTTCATGTTCAAAGTTGAATCTTGTTTATCTGAGCAGAAGTTGAAAGTTATCAATTTGGAGGTAGGTATCCCGGTTCAAATTGAAGCTCCACCTTCCACTAGGAGTTTGGCTTTAGATGAATTATTTAGTTTAAGACTCTTTTTCATCATCGGTAAGTAGATAAATTAATGATACTACAGGCGAACACCATGCTTGTAGGATATTAAACACAAGCACCAAGTGCACCCCATATGTTTAATAACTCTCATTGTTATTCTCTGCACACTATAGATAAATAGTATGTGCCTTGTGTATTTCACAGGAACCTGGTAATGAACTGTTGAGATCCTTTGTATCGATGGGCCTTTCTTTTCATCTGTAACTTGCAGACTTCCACTGTGAAACATGCAAGGACTTCCTACTAGAGCTACTTTAAGCTTGATCTACTCTATTCACACTGCATAGTTCTGTGATTATTCAAATGAGAGCTACACAGACATAACACTGGATAATTATTGCAATATAAAAATGAACAGCACAGCAACAGAAACAGGAGCCCAACATTTTTCCATCCCTAGAAATTCTATCAGAGATTGGACATTCACTTATAATCATGTTGGCTTCCATAATGATAGAGGTTGAGAAATCCTGTAACATACCATCTAGAAGACAGAGGCCCAAACACTCTGGTGGTGTGATTCAAGCTGAGTCTAAAGACCTGAGAGCCAGGGATGCTGATATATAAATCTCAGTCAGAAGGCAGGGAAACATGCAACATAATGTCTTGTTCAAACAGTACAACAGAAAAAAGGGGGCACAAATCTCTCCTTCCACTTTTTGTTCTTCTGAGGCTCCGAAGATTGGATGATGCCCATCCTTGTTGAGAAAGACAATCTACTTTCCTGAGTCTTCCACCAATCAGCTGCCTGGGGACCTCTTGCTCAACCCAGATATCATGCGTAGGCTGGGAGAAGCACTTGGGTGCTGGTTTGTAGCAGCTTTTATATTCTTTGACATTTGACAATAATGAGTGTTGACAGCAGGTGGCATCTTCTAGCCTTACCGCTCTCATATAGGCACTGAAACCTTAGGTGATGATGACAAGTGTTTTCAGCTCCGAGTAGGCTTGGGAAGTCCTTGACAATGTTATAGCACCTGGACCATTATCATTTGAATCTACAGTGCCCTTCATCTAACTCTCGTTTGGTGCCTAGGAGATGTTGCTATATTTGGAGGTTCTGAAAACACTGGGGCCTGGCTACAGGGGTGGGTCACTGGAGGGCATCTTATTATCCCTGCATGCTTCCTGTCAACCTCTGATTCCTGGTCCACCATGATGTGAACTGAGCTCCTCTGGTAGGCCTTCCCCACTATGATGAACTGCACTCTCTTAAACCATGAACCGAAATAAATCTTCCCCTCCTTGAGTTATTTCTCTAGGTATTTGGACAGAGTGATAGAAAAGTAACTATACACAGTCTAGGGTATAAGATTCACTGGCCCTTGATGGTGCCCACTTTCCATCTCCTGGACCTTAACAGTCCATGACCTTTGAGCCTTGAAACCACTGCTGCTTCTGCCTCTGCTGTTGCCAGTGTCGTGGCCACTGTTGCCGTGTCTCCACTACTGCTCCCCTGTTGGCTCCTGCTGCCACTGCCGTCCCTGCTTATCCCCTCTACTCTGCTGCTGCTCTGCCACCACTCTCACAGCTCTACCACTCTCACTGCCAAGTTGTCAAGGCCAGCAGTGGTTCTCATGGCTCCACAGCTGCCACCATCAAGGTCACCATGGTTCCTGTGGCTCCACCTCTCTGGCCTGCCACTTCTGTGGTTCCAGCTATCGGCTGCTTCATGTCACTGCTGCCACCTTGTTCTTTGTTACCAGCTCAGCCACTCTACCAATGATGGACATCAAAAGTGAAGGAAGATAGGGCTGGAGAATAACTCAGCAGTTTAAGAGCCATGGATGCTCTTGTAGAAGATCTGGGTTCAGTTCCCAGCACCCACATGGCGGCTAACAGCTGTCCATAACTCCAATTCCAGGGGATCCAGTGCCCTCTTCTAGCTTCTGTGGGCACAGCACACACATGGTACATTTACATACATGCAGGCAAAATATTCATACATATAAAATAAAAATAAATAAATGATATTTTGGTCTTTTTGAGACAGGGTCTTCCTGTATCCCCAGATGACCTAGAACTCACTAGGTAGACCAGGCTGGCCTTAGTCTCACAGATATCACCTACCGTGCCTCCCAAATGCTGGAATTAAAGGTGTGCCTCTCCACACCCAGCCTAAAATATATATTTTAAGGCGGTAAGAAAGGACCTCTAGAGAGAAGCCCTCTTTTGGACCTCAGGTTGCCACACAAAAGAGGCTGCTCAGAAGCACATCTCCTGGCCAGCTCACAAAGCCGCAGCCTTATATGGCCAGAAAAGGGGTATTTGGACCAATTGCAGCAGACTTTCATGCAAATGAAGGATTGTGTTTATGCCAATCATGGCTTTGTCTCTTTTGCACAGGGACACCAGTTCCTCCATTTAGACCACGTCGGGAATTACTCCCTCAATGTCCTGGGTGGAAACGGATACAGAGACAGTCAAGTGCAAACTATCTGTAACAGATGAGGTTGGAGCTGCACCTTTGAATGCAGAGAAAGCAGATGCCTTGTCATGCTGTTTCCTCACGGTGTCTAAGCGGAAATCACAATGGCCAGTGCTGGCATAAAGGCAGCCCAGTTTGACTGACAGTCCTCACAAGGCAGCCAAGACACCAGGGAAGAGTCTAACAGCTGTCGATTGGGAGTTCAATCACCCCATTCCCTACAAAAAAAATCTTATTTACAAGAAAATCAACAGTAAGAACTTAATTATTAACAGTGGTTTTAACAATGTTTCACAGAGCTTTAACAATGCACGCCTTTAATCCCAGCATTCGGGAGGTAGAGGCAGGCAGATCTCTGTGAATTCAAGACCAGCCTGCTCCACATTTGGAGTTCCAGGCCACCTGGGGCTACAGGGAGACCCTGTCTCAAGAAGACCAAAAACAATGCTTAACTCCTGCCACACACCCCAAAGAGAGGTGGACTCTCCTACCTAATCTGAGTCAAATCCATTAATTCAAATACTAATCTCATCCAGAGAAACATCAGAGACACACCCAGAGACAATGTTTTCTCTGATCACTTCCTGGTTATAGTAGAGTTGATGGGAGCAACTAACCTCAGCAAATCCTCTGTCAATTACCACCTCCTGAACACTTTTTCTTCTTCCTTTGGTCTTAGGTATTTTGATTGAGAATCAGTTTCTTGGCTTCTCACTGTGGAATTTCATATCTATTCTGCTTCAGTGCCTCAGATGAAACATCGTTTAACAGCTGTGATTTAGCCTGGTGGAGACTGAATCAAGACAACTTTCTCTTCCACACCTTTCACATGCATTCCTACTCAACCAAGACAACTGCTTTTCTAGGCAAGGCTATTCACCTGGGAGTTGTAAGGAATCCCACACTCATTAGGAAAGCACAGCTCTGTGGGCCCTTGAGCTTTCTAAGGAGTAAATGTGTAATTAAAACTATCCGATCAAGAGAGACCCAATTTGTGCTTTATATTAAAAATGTGGTTTAGACTTAAAACTTTGAAGACATATTCATTTAAGGGGTGGAAAATTGGATTAAAATTTTAAAATAAAGAGGGGGTAAGAAATGGTTAAGATTTTGCTTACAATAATATAAAACTTTTTTACATGCTGCCTTTGAGCCCTCACCGTGCCTCCTCGTGGCTCTGAGGGTTAAGCTGCGACGCCATAGCACATCGCTCATGCATAACTGGGGCCACCTGCTCATTGAGGGTGGCCTCTTCAACCACCAGCTACAGGGGCATGGGGGGAAAAATAATATAATTTTTTTAACTTCACAGATAAGGTAAAATCACAAATGGCCTATGTTTAGAACCTCAAGATTTATAATACTAAAGTAGGCATTATTAGATTTCTTTGTAGGTATATTTTTTTATATTTTATTTGTTTTATGTGAGTGTATATGTGTGTATGGGTGCACATATGCCACCGTGAATGTATGGAGGTCAGAGGACAACTAGGGACAGGCAGTTTTCTCTTTTCACCTTGGGGGACCTAGGGATGGAACTCAGGTCTTCAGGCTTGGCAGCATGTGTTTTTACCCACTGAGTCATCTCACTGGCAGTCTTCGTGGGTTTTCAAAGCAGAGATTTTGTTTCTGTTTGTTGAAAAATGTGAGGTACTAGGAACCCACCAATACCACACAAAGAACATTCAGCCAAAGTGAAAGCAACTGGGTAAGGCAGATTTTACTTTTGCAAAAGGGTACATTGCATGGTCAGTCAGATCCAGCGGGCACGCAGGACCCAGAAGCTTGATAGGCTTTTATCCCTAAAGCAAGAGTACTGTGTCTTTTCCCAATTGGCTGGGGTCCGACCTCACAGTCTTTCACAGTTGGCTACTTTGAAGTTGGCTAGTTTGAATCAATGCAAAGGAAGGAGGAAGAGAGCTGCTGCCCCAGGTCATCAAGTGGGGAATGCATCAGAGCCTTTCCTTAAAGAAAAGTCTTACAGGGTGTGATGGGATTAAAAGATTAGATTTCTTGTCTTAAATCAAGTTTTATAGGGTTTGAAAGAAAAAAACTAATATTTCTTACAGGTTTGCCTTTTTATCATCATGGCAATGAAATTTAAGAGGAGTTGCCTACTTAGTTTCCATTACACTTTAGATATATCCAACTTTGGGTGATAAAATTAAAACCAACAACCAAATGCCATAAAAGCTAGGGGAAAAAACAAGTTTGGGTGTGTGTAATCTGAAGACTGTCTTCCAACTACCAGTTTCATATAGGACTAATGTAAAATTCAGCTTTGTATTCTCTAGAAGAGAATAAATATAGTCATACTTCTTTATTTATGAAAGAAAAAGTACAGAGTTTCCAGGTATAGTTAAAATAAACTCTCCACTACAAAAAAAAGGCAATTCAAGTACATTTTGTGACTCAGCTATTAGTGGAAGTAAATCCTAAAAGAAAAGAAAAATCTTTTAATCTGGAAGTAAAATTTTATGCTAAAGAAACATACTGACATCAATAAATAAAATTAGCAGTTATATAGTATTAATTCATATGCATATTGAAAGATTTTCAAGGGAAGGATTCAAGAGAGGCAGATTACTGAGGAATGAGGGGTTTATTAGAAAAGTTATCAATGGACAGACAGAGAGGCAGCAGAATTCCAAGAAGGGAGTTTGGGCCCCAGCACCAGAGACAACATGGCAGGGTCCCTGAAAAGAGGATGAGGGATGTTTCACAGCACAAGCCTTCAATAAGGCTCTCTGATTCCCAGGCAGGCGATAGGAAACAGGATGTGGACCAATAAATACCCCCTTTAATGGTAAGGATCTCTCACTTTCCAGGCAAGACATCTTGGTTCTGGGATGTCTGGTAACTAGGGACTCACAGACAGTGTCTCAGTAGGGTGTCTGTCCTTATCTATGAGAGGAGGCTGCTGCAGATATTGTGACCTGAACAGAGGCTGGATTCTAACATCACATTCTTATACACGTGAACTCCTGGTTACCAAGTAGTGTCTGTAGAAAAGCTTGAATGCTCCACAGGATGTTCCTAAAAGGGACAATTTCTTAGGGACTCTAGGATGTTGACAGCCATTGAAATGCAAATCATACTGTCCCAAACTTGGTGCAAAGACCAATCAGACTCAAAACTCCATCAATGGCAAAAAAACATGGTGGCCCTGCCACTTGTGAAAGTGTATAGGATACCTCTTCCTTAAGCTAAACGGGTAAAGTTGCAATAATGAACTTGGGCAAGTGTACCATGGCTTTAGACTTAGTTCTATTTTCTTGTGGAATATATCTGTCTTGGTGAAATATCAAGGTGACATTGTTTTTTTTTTTATATTGCCAGAGTTACAATATTCTTCAACTCAGAAAAAAAAAATCTGATTGCATTATTTTATACATTTTTCTCATTAATAGAGATAATTGTCATAAAAACAATTTCAAATGAATTAAAGTTACCTAGTATTTGTTACAATTTCATCTGTAATCCAATCTGAGTGCCCACATATTTCAAAATTACATTACTTTTTATAGTGGGTTCAACAAAAAGTAAGCACAGGAAAGAGAAAGTGACTAAAGGTCATATTGATTACATTAAACAAGTACATTCAGAACTTGGAAAGAGTAAAATAGAGAATTGCCACTTATAGTGTGACATAAAATCTTGACTCATAAAATAATAAGGAGCTAAGCACTTTTGACTAGATGATATCAATTTTCACTCTGAAAATATGGAAGATCTGCTTTGGGCAGCTCTCAGAAGTACCAGCTAGATCCAGAGGGAAACAATAATTCAGGGGGCTTAACAAGAGATCAAAACGGGAAGGCAGATTCTTCATCCCCTGTGACCTTGCAGAAGTCAAACCACAACCCTTCAGCTCTCCAAGCCCAAATGAGAAGAGAACCCTTCTGTCTGCAGTCTCTTCAGCCACCTGTCGACCAGAAGTCTCTGAAGACATGATCCAGGCAGCCACTACCTCCTCCACGCTGTGCAATTCAAATCATGTGCATGTAGTCATTCGCTCCTCCGGAAGGGGGGCCTTGTAAGAGGCCCGAAGTTTGCTTTAAGGCAGCCTCCGTAGAGGTTTCATTTGAATCTATTAGTTCCCTGATTAGGTTCCAGTAGGAAAAGACTGTAACAGGAATTTTTCTCGGGCCCAAAGACCTTATAGTAATCTTCTAAAGCATTCTTTACTCTTTTCCATCCTTTAATATCTATTATTCCTTCTTGGGGGAACCAAGGACAGGTTTCCTTAATAAATTCAAAGAACCGAAATAAATCCTCTATTTTAACCTTTACTCCTCGCATCCGTAAGGCATCCTGCAATTGCTGAACATAAATTTCGTGCCTGCTTAATTCTTGTCCCATAATCAGACGCCGATACTTACTTCTGATTGTAGCCGAGGCAAGTTCCCGCGGCGTGTCCAGAGTGAAGAATTGTTGCGGAACGCGTTCCTTGGGGGCCGTCTTCTTCCCACACTGGATCCTCCATATCCAGCCCTCACGCTGAGCACCAGATGTCCTGACCCGCAGGACATCTGTATCTGGAGGGAGGAGAGGGGACGGAAAGGGACAAGAGATGTGAAGAATGGAGGCAAGACAGGCTTTCTGATCAAGTCTCATTTATTGAACATCTAGATAAAGTTTTTATAGTGAGGAGAGGGGGAAGTTGGCAGGGACAAATCCATTGAGGCAGAGCAATTCAATTAACAGAACAATTATCATGATTGTAATACCAAAGTTTCTAGCAATTACATGAGAAAATGAGGGAGTCTCTCAAGCGTTAAGTGCCCAGGTTAGAACAACATGTTTGTGAGAGGCTTTCAAGTATAGTCATCTGGTTAATCTCAAACCAGGCCAGCCTTGATGTCTGAAAAACAGCTTTGCCAGGAATCAGGTCTTGCTATTTCCTGGGGTAGGGGCCTACGGCTCCCGACATTAAATGACCCCCAAATTTCAGTAACACTAAGGGGTAGATTGTAAGAAGATTGTCAAAGGAGTCAAAGACGTGATTTCTCTGGCCTAACAGGCCACTGAAAGGACTTTGGGCTTGTTTCTTCTTTTTTACTATATGTCAAAATATAATTTGCATATTACAGCAAATGAATACATCTTAAGGGTATGTTTTTTTATGGGTTTTTTTAAAATTACATCAGAATAATACAGTAAGACTACCATCCAGATAAAATTCCCATCATCTCAAACAACTCCTCTCTTTTGGCCAACATAACTTGCCAACAGTGCTATTCACTTTTAGCATGATAGGTTTGTTTTGCTCGGTCTTGAATGGTATATAACGGAACCAGATAGCAGCACGACTTTGGCTCCAAGTAATGCTTTTGAGATCCTTCCAAGATCCAGCTCCCTTCATTTGCATAGTAGAGTGGTACTGCATTGCCTGCATAAATCACTTTGTTTCCGAAGTCTCCTGCAGATGAGTGTTTGGGTTATTTGCAGCTTAGGCCTATAATGAGCAAAACTGCTAAGAGCATGTGTGCACTCTCCTTTCTTCAACATGTGCGATCATGTCTCTTGGTGTAAATCTGCCAGTGTACTTTCTAGGTCAATAGCAGCAGGTTTAGGAAAACTTCATTTGCTTTTCAAAGAGGCTACACTGTTTTATACAATATGTACAAGTCCTAATCATTCCAAGTCCTCACCAAAAGCTGCGATTGTCAATCTTTTTAATTTTAGCCTTTCAGGTGGGTGGAGAGTGGTATTTGTTGTGATTTTAATATTCATTTTTCCTCATGACTAATGATGAACTCTTCTACATGCTCTTGATTACTCCGCTTCTTTTATGAAGTGTTCATCCTTTGTTTGGTTGGCATCCCACATCCAAAATCTGTATTATATCATGCTGTAACTTGACAACTGAAAGCAACAATTATATACTAGCTCACCCAATTCTTGGGTCAGGAGCCTAGAAGCAGACTAGTAAGTGTTCTAGCTCAGGTTGTAGCGGGGATGTTGGCTGAGGCTGGCAGCATATTAAGGCTCCTTGGGTTTAGAGACATCACTTCTAGGCTCACTTACCCAAGCTTCATGGGAGCGGTGTCTAATGTTACTTGGTGACATTGAAAAAGCTTAAAGAGTCCCTGCTACTCTCACAGATGCTTGTTCTCAATTTGAAAGACTAAAGGGAAAGGCGATGGCAAAGAGAAGCCCAAAGCTCCCAGCTAACTGGGGATGTGGGTAGTAATATAAACATATCCAGATGCAATGAACAGTTAGAAATGGATCTCTTTCATTAAGCCCCCACTACCACACTTGGTTGT